TTCTGTAGAATCTACAGAAAAAATTATTCTGTATTACTTCTTTTATATTAAAAAAAAGGGCCTTAACCGATGTCTAGGCTTTCTTGTAAAGCTTTTTTTGTTTAATTAAGACACAATAACACGCCGAATAAATACTAATTCAGAAGTCAAACAACAAAAATCAGCGTTATATTTACAAAATTTTCACAGGACTAGTTTCGATGGTTTACCGAACCATCATCTTCAGCTGCAAAACCGCAAAAACCGGATTTTGCGGTTTTTGCAGCTGAAGATGATGTTTCGGTAAAACCATCGAAAACTAGTCCTGTGAAAAGTTTGTAAATATAACGCTGATTTTTGTTGTTTGACTTCTGAACTTTTTTTGTTTGTTTGTTTGTTTGTAAAATAGTACGTTTTACATTAGTAATTTAACCCTTTCCGTCACGCTACTCATTAAAGTTGGAATATTACCAAAAAAATTGTAGGCAGTCTATTTAGGCTTAGGAGAGTATGCAGGTATAATTTTACAAAGATTGCCCAAACCGTTTCCATTTTGTGGGTGTGACCGAAGCGAACACACTGAGCCGCACGAGCTGCGATAGGTGAGCATTGCTGTGAAGCACGTATTACAGTAAAATACTTTGTCTATGATTTAAAAACAGTAGAATCTGATCTCTGTAGCAGATTTAGCATAACCCAGGGTGCACCACGGGGAGGCCTGCTACTCTACACCCTCCAATTAAAAACCGGGGTAAAAAAAACGAAAACTCATTGCTTTGGCAATGCTAAGGCCTCTCCGAGGCCTTACTCAATTGAGCCCTTTTACTCAATTTTAAAATTTACAAGAAAAATAATTAAAGTACTATAATATTAACAATTAATTATTGAGTAGAAAAAATGGCCACTTTTGGAAATTTTTATGGTTTTGAACTTTGCATGCTTATAGAAAATGTTACCTTTCGCAAAATGCAAACTTGTATATATCATTTTAAAGAGAATTATACTGAGTTCAATACAAAACACAAAATTCAATTATTTGCAATACAAAAAAGTTCTATGTACTTTAATATAAATAAAAACACAGTTATGAAGTGGTTTGTAATGTCTAGCTTTCCTGGCCAATCACTGTTCTTGTTCTGAGAAACTAATCAAATGTTAGTAACTGCCAGTAGAAGCTGACATCATGTTTTACACTTGAAACAATTCATTATTTTGCTTTGTTCTGTAGAAGGAGGAGCTGTTTCTTATACACTGCAATTACAAGTAGGATTTTGTAAAAATTTTTAATATTTAGTCAAGAAAGCAATGACATCAAATAAAAGAGTAGATTGGACACCTAGAAGAGATGTAAATATTATTGTGTTACGAGAGACTGGTCTTTCCTATGCTGAAATTGCAAGACAAGTGGGTGTTTCAGTGACTACATCTGGAGTCCGAAAGTTTTGTTTACGATATCAGGAGACAAATTCAATAAAAAACACAGAAGGAAAAGGCCGAAAAAAGGCGCACCACATCTATTGATGAAAAAAGAATAAAAAAACTATGTCTCCAAGATAGAAAAATGTCATCAGGGGCCATCAGAAGTGATCTGAATGATGCTGGTGTTTCTGTCAGTTCAAGACCAATCAGGAGAAGATTAACAGATGTTAGACTGAGGAGTAGAATTCCACGAAAAAAGCCTTATCTTAATTTTCAGCAACGAAATAAAAGACTACAGTGGGCAAAGGAACACATTAATTGGACAGATGATCAGTGGTCCCAAATTATATGGAGTGATGAAACTAAGAAATCGTTATTCGGTAGTGATGGGCGAAAATATGTAAGACGTAGAATAAGAGAAGAGCTACATCCTGACTGCATTCAAGCAACTGTGAAGAACCCAGGTAGTGTTATGATTTGGTCATGCATGTCAGCAGATGGTATTGGTCGCCTTCATGTCATCGATGGGACACTGAATGCCAGAAAATACATTGACACTATTCTAGAGCCAAAACTTCTACCTTCGATCAGGTAGAAGGTTCTCTTTCCCAACAATGCTTCGTTTATTTTTCAGCAGGATTCTGCTCCTTGCCACACGGCCAAAATCTCGAAAGAGTGGTTTCGTACAAAGAACATTAAATTGTTGTCATGGCCAGGAAACAGTCCTGATCTCAATCCTATCGAAAATTTGTGGCACCGTTTGAAAACTTTTGTACGAATGAGGCGCTCATCAAATAAAAGGGAACTAATTGAGGCTATAATTGTTTCCTGGCATCATGTAATAACGAAAGAAGAGCTTAAAACTCTTGTCAGCTCAATGAAATGTCGAGGTGAAGCTGTAATCAAAAATAAAGGGTACCCTACTAAGTACTGATAACTCAATGCAATCATCACTATTAAATGTATATTGATAACTATTATCATTTAACTTTTTTTGTATTGCAAATAATTGAATTTAGTGTTTTGTATTAAATTAAGTAATAAATTCTCTTTTAAATGATCTATACAAGATTGCATTTTGTGAAATGTAACGTTTTCTATAAGGATACAAAGTTCAAAAACATAAAAATTTCCAAAAGTGTCCACAATTTTGGCCACCACTGTATATACAAATAAAAGTCTACAGAAATCAAAACTAAGCAAAGTCTGCTCTCTCTGAAATTCAAACAGCTAAGTGAAAACAAAGCACCGGGGTCTTCAAAACGAAAAACAGAAAAGAATAAAAACAAATATAAATAAATCTGCGCTCTCAGCCTCCCCTGTGTTTGAAGCATGAGACCAGATTTTGTGACTCTCTCCCACGTGACAGGCGTTACCAGTACAGTGTGTTCAATCCGAACACACCATACACTGAAGGCTTCACTATATGCAATATTTCAAAGATAAAAATTAAAAGTAATGCAGATTAGCATACGAACAGCAAAATTATATAAAGATTTTTTTCATTGATATTCTTTATATTTAAAAAAAAATCTGACATATTTCTTTGAAAAATCAGTGTCCTAAAAAACAGAAACAATACCCGGGTCAAATACTTTTCCACTGCAATTCGCAGATGTATTTCTGTTTGCATATCGCAGTCTGGAGATTCAGTTCTTTCAGACTTTTCACCCACAGGAAAATCTAAAACAGTTTATTTAGCACTCTGTAGTTTATTCCTACCATGTATACAGTTCACCTAGGTATTTTATACAGTTCACCTCGTTAATGATTTGCTTGTGTGGTGCTGCCATCTATTATTCATAAAAGAGATTAAAAGTAACCATTAATGTAGTTTTCGTGATATTTATTGATTATTTTCAGTGTCTAAAGAGGGAATATTTTTGGTGCGTTCACACCGAATACACTACACCGGAAAGGGTTAAACAAACATATCTCAACATACTGGGAGAAATGTACATGAATGCAATATTTCTAAATCATTTGCACATACAAGTGCATTAAAGAGACAAATGCTCATCCATAATGACACGAAATGGCATGAATGTAATAATTGTAACTAGTTAGTTACAGTTTAGTACATTATTTCACCTTTCTAACACTGTTGTGGAATTCTGCACTGGTTTTGTGAATGTTGTTGTTTTATACACTGAAACATTTGATACTGAAGCCGGATAGGCATGGTCTTTAGAACTTGTTCACTATATATTTTTTATGACAGGTACAAGAAAATTTTTTCTATCAGAAATGCAGAGCTGTAATTCATATCTGCACTAAATTCAGAAACAGACAAATTTAATACAAAACACATATAATTTACAGTATATGTGCTGGAAGAAACATTTAGCCACCTTTTAGAATAATTATGTTTCAAGTACTATACATAATAAATTTATTTCATTATGCAACGGATATAGACACTGAACCCTAATTATCACATAAAAATATCTGGAAAAATATTCTATCTTGTGGATAAATGGTTTATAATTTATTTTGAACAAATTAGAATTTATCTATCTCATACAGGGTCACCGGTAAGCTTAATGCCATTCAATATAATCTCTGCGAAACTGCCACTGATTAGCTCTCTAAATTCTAAAAATTTTGCTCTTTCTAAATTTTATCATTCGATGAGAGAAAACCAGACTTCACCTCACATAATGAGGCTACTGGGTAAAGTGCAGAATTGCCCACTTATTTGTTTGACACTTTTTACAAAAGTAAGAAGAATTGGATTTTTGTTAATTTTCTTTGACTTTTTAAGTGAAAATCAGTCGATGTGTACATGGATAAAGGGAGTGTGCAATGCCATTTTTACGCAATTCTGGGATTTTTTTTTTTTTTAAGTGAAAATAGGTTGATGTGTACATGGATACCGAGTATGTACAATTCTTAAAAACGTATCAAGCAGTAGGTGATTCTGCACTTTCCCCAGGTTTCTTCGCTGCATGGACAAGTGCTTACTGAATAGGTAAGCAAAAGGTTCTTACTAATACATACTAAAAAGAGGTTTCTCTTCTGTGTACATAAAGGTATGTTTCTTCAAACTCTTCATTACCCCAAATGCCATGTTTACATGCATAACTCATAACATTTGTCTCTTATGTGGTTTTTTTTAGCAAAGGCACCTGATTATACAACATCGACTCCCATGCATAAAAGCTGCGTAAGACTGGAGCATGAAAAAAATTATCAAGACCAAACAGTAATTAACCTTATTACAATAACAGCATCAAAATTGGGAAATAGAATAACAAATGAGTAGACTCAGCATTAATAACAATAATTTTATCTGTTATGTTGATATCCATATTTAATTCCTCTTTATGAGGATGAATAAATGAATTTTTATGTACCTTATACACATATCTTCTTTCCAGTGTGAATCAGCATATGCCTATTTAAACTACACTTTTGAATAAACATCTTCTTACATACTTCACAGATATGCGGTTTCTCTCCTATGTGAATACGTATATGCTTGATTAAACTACTCTTTTCATTAAATGCCTTCTTACATACTTCACACATATGAGGTTTCTCTCCTGTATGAATAAGCATATGCCTGTTTAAAATATATTTTTGATTAAATGACTTCTCACATGTTTCACACATATGAGGTTTCTTTCCTGTGTGGATAAGCATATGCTGCTTTAAAACAGACTTTAAACTAAACGTTTTATTACATACTTCACACATATGAGATTTCTCTCCCGTATGAATAAGCATATGCACATTTAAATTAGCTTTTCGATTAAATGATCTCTTACATATTTCACATATATGAGGTTTTTCTCCTGTGTGAATAAGCATATACTGGTTTAAAATAGCCTTTAAACTAAACGTCTTCTTACATACTTCACACACATGAGGTTTTTCTCCTGTGTGAATACGCATATGCTTGATTAAACTACCCTTTTCGCTGAATGTCTTCTTACATACGTCTCCCATATGAGGTTTCTCTCCTGTATGAATAAGCATATGCATGTTTAAACTACCCTTTTCTGTAAATATCTTATTACATTCTTCCCACATATAATGTGTTTTTCCTGTGTGAATAAGCATATGCTTGCTTAAACTTCTCTTTTCACTAAACATCTGCTTGCATACATCACATATATAAGATTTCTCTCCTGTGTGAATGAACATATACATGTTTAAACTAGCTTTTCTATTAAATGATTTCTCACATACTTCATACATATGAGGTTTCTCTCCTGTGTGAGTAAGCATATGCTGGTTTAAATTATCCTTCCGAGTAAACATCTTTTTACATACTTCACATATATGAGCTTGCTTTTCTGCATGAATATGCATATGTATGTTTAAATAAGCTTTTTTTAAATGATTTCTTACATACTTCACATACATAAGGCTTTTCTCTTGTATGATAAGCATATGCTTCTTTAAAGTAGACTTTTGTCTGAATGACTTATTACATTCGACGTACACATGAAGTTTTTCTTTTATATGGGTATCCATAAGCTATTTAAAGATAATGCTTCTGCCAAGATAACTATAAGCTTTGATATTATACAACTTGTGACATACATCAAGATGATGTTTATGTTCTGCGTGGGTGTAAAATGGGAATGTTAAGTGAATTTTATCCAAAACTACTTCTCAATATTCCACTTCCACACTAGTCTTCAGTTTCTTGCATAAATACACATGCATACATAAAATTATTAATACATATTCTGTATGACTCCTATCTATTGTACTGCATAAACTTAGCTTGATTTCCAAGAACACTTGATCAAAAATCAATTTGTAACATTTCCTGGAAATACGATTTCTTGCCCAACAATATTCAGGTCCTTAACATTGAATTTAAGGGATATATCATATATGCATTATTATCATTACATAAAGTTTGGATTCTTCTAGATCTGTTAGTTAGTGCTTAACAGTTGTTTATTAAAAAGTGCCAAATAATTTTCACATTTCCCTGCACACAATTTGCGTAGGTTTTGACTAGAGAGAAACAAAACTTCATTTCTGCATAGGGTCAGAGAGACACACAGAGCATATTTTTTGCTCCCTTCGGTCAGGTAAATTTGAGTTCGATTACAGATCACACCTTTCGTATCAAAGGCGTACGGCCTATAAGGGCCTATAATGTCTTAATCTTCATGGCATTTTAGAAGAATGAAGAATAAAATCCATACAGGTAGAAAGTCTTCCGCACTCTTATTGTAGGGCAGCGCCTGCTCGTGGCGCCATCTGATAGCAATTTTTGTAATCAATACAGAAATTAAAGTAGTGGGAAATCTTTTATTTCTTTTACTCGTAGAAGCATGACTTTCTTCGTAAAATAAGCATAGCAAATCTGTACATCGACAAATAAAAACTTAAGTAAAATAATAATGTAAAATAATGGAGTAAAATTACATAAGTTAATAGGCACAAGTCCTCTGTAATCTTACATTCGTCTGTGACTGATTCAAGGAGGTTAGAATAATCCAAGGTATTCTTATCTCCTTGGACTGAACCTGGTATGTTGCATTTATCATTATGCTGCATAGCTCCTTGTATTTGTCGTTAAGAAAACTATAAAATAAAGCACGTCAAAGAACACAGAAAAAATTTATGAGAGTATTTTAAAATTTCCGCGTCTGTCTGTTGGTGTGTTTTTATTCAATTGTTGTGAATTGTAGAGTTTTTCACAAACCATGGTGAATTAGTTACTATTCGAAAAACCCTGTTTCGGAATCTCTGAATTGTTGCTGTATTGGATCTAGCATTTGCTGCCCAGGCAGGAGATGCATGAAATAAAATGGGTCTGACAGCTTTTTAAGTATAGGAATCTTTTTGTGGCTTCACTGAATGTAGAGTTTCTGTCAATTAATGCATAAATATTTTATTTGCTTTATCACAAATGTAATTAATATTATGCTGAAATATTAGTTTACAGTCAAGATGTATTCCTAGATATTTGACACTTGTGCATCACGTGATAATGTGACTCCGTTCAGGTGGATATTTTTCAGAGGTGTTGAGAATCGAGCATTTAATTGATATTATGTGCAGTTTCAGTGGCATCATTGTTTTATTGTTTTATTATGTTTTATGCATCATGCATCACTATTATTTTTGTCATTTTAAAAGTTGTCATGTAAACGATAAGACGTACGTACAGGGTGATCAGCGAATAAGCCCTGAATTCAAAATTAAATATCTCTACAACAAAGATCGATAGAATTATGAGGTAAACTTTACGTTTATTAGCAAAACTGTAAGAAGGGTGTACAAAAGTTTATAAAAATTAGTTATGAAAATCTTTAACAGATGGCGCTCTAATCGCAATGACCTATCAATAGCCTTTAAAATGTGCTTCGAAATCGAAAGTGATCAGTACAACTGTTCGCAGAAAGAAAGTGAAATAATGTATTACATTGAACAACGTGTATTTTGGTTCTGGAATTTCCCAGATTAGACCACAGTCCTACGGCTACACGTCGCAGTTTTCAAAACCGATTCAATATTCCACTTGGACCCGATGCGAAAACCATTCACAAGCTCTTAACGAAATTTGAATGGACTGGCAGCGTGGCTGATGATCGAAAGGGAAATGGTGGACCTAAGCAAACTAGTCACTCCTGAAAATGCAGCCAAAGTCTCTGGATTTGTTCAGCAAAATCCTAGGAAAAGCATCCGACGGATTGCATCAGAGACAGGTTTGAAGTACACGAGCACACAAAAAATATTTAAAAATAGCCTACGGCTGTTTCCATTCAAAATCCAAAGTCATCAGGCCATAACTCATGAAAGCTGTGCAACAAAGGATTGACTTTGCGAATCAGATTCTAACAATGATAGATAACGACAGATTTGATGTGAACTGCATCTGGTTCACAGATGAGGCACATTTTCATTTGAAGGGAATCGTTAATAAACAAAACTGGAGATTTTGGGATACCGAAAAAGCACTGAATTCGCCTAAAGTTATGGCATCATGGGCTGCGGTATGCGCCAGAGGCATTATCGGACCCTTTTTCGTACGAGAAACAATAACTACTGAACGTTATGTTACAATTTTGGAACAATTTGTCAGCACTCAACTAGCGTTGGAGGATCGACCAAGTATGGACTGGTTCCTGCAAGATGGGGCTCGACCACATCGAACAAATGAAGTTTTTCACTTTCTTCATGAATACTTTGGGAGTAATTGCGTTATATTATCCTCAATTTACTGACACAGGAATAGTTTGGCGTCCATATTCTCCCGATCTGAGTCCTTGTGACTTCTTTCTGTGGAACGCATTGAAAGACGCTGTCTATCGAAACAATCCTGCTACTCTAGATGAGCTTGAATCGTTGATTGGTGTTGCATGTGATTCCATTTCCGTCGAGGCATTGTAAGAGGTGATGTCAGATTTCATTGTTTGTTTACGCCACCTCATTGTTTCGAACGGTGAACATTTTGAAAAAATTGTATTTTGATTGCAAAGGCTGCTTCACTTTATTTTTTAATTAATTTTTTTTTACTCCTTTCAGAGAAAGTTTTCAGTGCAGAGCGCCATCTGTTAACGATTTTCGTAACTAAATTTTCTAAACTTTTGTACACCATTTTTACAGTTTTGCTAATAAATGCATAATTCTATCGATTTTTGTTCCAGAGATAGTTAATTTTGAAATCAGGGCTTATTCGCTGATCACCCTGTAAGTTCTCTTTACTTTTTTTTTTGTTAATAAAGTCTAAAATTCAATTATCCATCACTCTGTTAATTTTATAACAGGTTATTGGTTTTAGCGACGTTTAACTGCTCAAATAAATTAACAATGGCTATGTTGACGTATTTGAAACGCGGTTTTTTTTTTTTACTTTCGTTTTCGATTTCAACACTTCCACCTGAACAGTGTGTAATTAGACGCTACAGTGTACCGATAGCCTTTTATTTTTGCTGCATATTTCCTAGTTAATGACGTCGTAATATGGAAGCTAAAAATTTTGTTCAGTGTACCAAATTGGAAGATTTATCCAACTGGACTGATTGGAAATTTGAAATTGTGCGGGCATCTTCGATAATTCCCTTATCGAGCCAAAAGCTCCGGCAGAAAGCGCGAATGAAAAAACGATACGCGAGTACAACAAAGCCACAAAAGCGTATGCAAAGGCGAATGCGAAAGCTGCTGTGATCATTCGCACAAATGTATCACCGAATGTGTTTAAATTTGATCCGTATGCAAAGGTAATTCTGCACTAGCGATATGGAATGAGTTATTAAGTAATTTTGAGAAGGTGTCAAGCGTGAAATTGGACACTCTTCTGCAACAGTGTTTCACTTTTCGGATCGAGAAAGACGAAAGTGTAATGGAATCACTCGCACGTTTACGTGCACTGTGGGTGGATCTTCAACGAGAGCAAAAGTTGAACGGCAAAAGGAAAGTTGCCGCAGAACTTGCTAGCACCGCGAATCTTATCTATTCTTTCTGATGACGAATATATAGAGTTCAAATCACAGTGGGACTCAATACCAAAGACGGAAAAGTCACCTGAAAAACTGATCGAACAGATCAACATGCGGCTGCAAAGAAGAAATCAAGAGCTTAGAAACGAAAGTACGATAACATTTGTGGCACATTCTAATTATAGCGTAAAACAGTGGAAAGAAATGGAAGAAGGGGGTAAAGAAAACCTCAGATGGTCAGCCAATCCTAACCCTTGACAACAAATAATGCCAAAACGATGAACAGACTTAGTAAGACCAGTGATGTGTGAGAGGTTCCAATGGCATTTGTTTTCGTTTTAATAAACCCGAGCACATTGGTAAATTTTGCCCAGTTTTCCCTGACATGCCAACCACGACGAATGGCAAACCAGAGACTTTCTTTGCAAATACCCAGTGCAGTACAAATTCAGCCGAGTATTTCAAAACGTACCGTCACTTTGACAAACAAGCAGAAATCACAGTCGGTAACAAAGAGACAATACCAGCATATGGCTGTGGGGACATTGACATGTGTGCGATGGTTGGAAACGTACAAAAATCTATTGAGCTGACTGATGTACTGAACGCACCCGAAATTGGCAAAAAAATTTGTTATCAGCCTCAAAGGCAATGAAGCGAGGAATCTCGAACTTTGGTGATTCAGACGATATGATTTGTCGTTTCTTTCGCAAGGAGACCCCAGATAATATACTTTTAGAAGCCCCATGCTCATCAAATGGACTCTTTGAACTACGTGCAAAACCAGTCAAGCCACAAGGGGGTTCTGCTGCTGCAGCCTACTTGGTTGACAACGAAATGACAACTCCTTTTCCTGAGACGGCAATGAAGACGACGACAAAATTACCATTATCACTTTGGCAT